GAGAAGTTTATATCAAATTTAAATTTTACTCTTTGTCGTAATCATTATTTAGCTTTCTTGTAAAGTATCCATTCCGCTCAAAATTACTGTCTGTGTAAATTACAGGCAGGGATATTTAATACCAGGTTCAAAAAAATACGTACATTAATATAGAGCATAAGGACGACCAGTAATAGGCCTCAGTTCTGCAAAACGAATCTAATAATCATTTGATTTTTCAGAACAAATTCTGCCAATATAACAGTCACTTTCTTTTTAAATTGCTCTCAAAACAATGCGCAGTGGAACTGGTTACAGCCACTAACTGAGACAAGGATTTTAAGGTGTGTATGGGTTAGTGAGGTACCTTGTCTCCTTCTCTCAACGTGGCTGCAACCACTGTCTCGCCGCTTCTGATGCGTACCAGAGTTGTTCTGCTATACTCGGTGCGCGTGTTTAGACGGCAAACTGCAATCGAAATGATTACGACGGCGGTAGGAAGGATATACATTCTTTTTCTTTTCCAACAGAAGTAAGTAATGATACAAGCGCGTTCCGATGTTCTGAAGTTCTGAAACTGATGTTGAGATGTTGAGGTTCCCACATTTTCTGCACAATCGGCTCACAGATGGCGGTGAGACTGTCAGCCTTAAGCGCCGGCAGCCCTTTACCCTAGTACTCATTTCTGTTAGAGGCCGAGTCGACCCCAGGGCCATAGTGCGGCTGGAATGATTAGGTAAACTGAAAGAAATCCAATGACCTCATCGGGATTCAAACCCGTAGCATAGTGCCTCGAGCAACTGCGCTACCGCGTGCCCCCATCTATGATTAAGGGTTGTGAAATAGGCCTAACGGTACAAGAGGTCACAGCGCAATGAGCTTCCTGCAACTAAAGAGAAGTCCTTTCATACACACAAAAAGTTCTGTGAGCGAGGTTTTCGTCACAGTATTTACGCAATTTCAGGTTGCGAGAACAACAGATTGTCGAGAATATTGCATAAATGTTATGTAGTCAGTCACGAACGAGCGAGCAGTATTTTCTTTTTATTTCAGTGTACCGTGTCAGAGTAATTGAAATTGGAAGGTGCTATGGCATGGAAATGAATGTGGAGAAAACAAAAGTAATGAAAATTTCGAGACAACCAACCCCAGTCACAATAAAGATAGACCAAAAACAACTGGAGACTGTGAAATGTTTTAAATATTTGGGTAGCTTGTTAACAGATGATGGAAGGTGTACTAGTGAAATAAAATCCAGGATTGCTATGGCAAAAGCTGCATTTAGCAGGAAGAAGAATCTTTTTACCAGAAAATTCGACTTAAATTTGAGGAGAAACTAGTGAAATGCTACATTTTGTGCATAGCTCTGCATGGGGCTGAAACATGGACACTTAAGGCAATAGATCAGAAACATCTGGAAAGTTTCGAAATGTGGTGTTGGAGAAGAATGGAGAAGATCAGTTGGACCGATTATGTGAGAAATGAAGAAGTGTTAATTAGAGTCAGTGAGCAGAGGAATATCCTACACGAAATAAGAAAACGGAAGGCTAATTGGATTGGTCATGTTTTACGCAGAAACTGCCTTCTAAAAGAAGTTATTGAAGGAAAGATAGAGGGGCGGGTAGAAGTGACAAGAAGACGTAAGAAGATGCTGGATGACCTTGGGGACAGAAGAGGATACTGTCATTTGAAGGAGAAAGCTCTAGATCGCAATAAGTGGAGGAATTGTTTTGGAAGAGGCTGTGGACCTGTCGTCTGACAGATTACTGATGATGATGTACGGTGTCTGTTCGGTGAATATTCGTAACACTCACGTGTTAGTGACTAGGCGGATTTCACTACTCCGGATTTCAGGCGTCATGTCACAATACTTTAATGTGGAGGTATGACGTGTACAATACAATATAAAAGAGACGTCTAAAAGTTTTCTGCTTGTACGTGTCATTCCTGGCGTTCAAATCGGCCTCGATGCATCAGTCGATGACATGTATAACGGGGAAGGGATACGGGCGAAAGCAGGGGAAGGTTACATAACAAATAATGAGATTTTCCGTTGAATTGTGAACGGATATTAAACTGTTGTGTAAAATTCTTACTTTTAATGTTCACAAAATTGTTACTCCCTACGAAAGTGATCAGTAACCATTGCATGAATCTGAACGGAATACACAGTTGATAAAGCGTCGTTATATTAAAAAACAAACAGAGTTTGAAAATTACTGTCTACTGACATGTGACAGACAACTTGTAGTCTTATTGACCATCATCCACATTTCATCTACCAGACTAAACGGCATCACATCTCAGAAGCAGTAACCTTCATAGCCTCCCACGTGGTAACTTCAGATCTCGCATTGCGAACCTAAGATTTGATTTAACAAGTTGCCCCTATGCTTAACTAATTGAGCATCACACCATGAAAGCGTATGGGAGAATGTATGTATAGATCCACATTTTCTTGTCTTCGGCATTAGTTGGAGGTGAGTGGTCAGCTTCACGCCCCGGTCGTTTTACCCCTGGGAGGAGGTTGGGTGAACCCCAGAGCCGGTCTGGACGACATGGAGAAGTGAAAATTCTTGACCCTACAGGAACTCGAACTCCGATCCCTCTGTCGTCCAACCCGTAGCCAGTCGCTCTACCCTAACAAGGAACGTATAGGATGACATTTATATCCTTGATACCTTTAGGCTTTACTTTTCTACACAGATCTTCATATTTCTGATTTCAGACACCTGTGACCCGCAGAACTGTCATGCTGTAGGGGGCACAATATGGAGTGGAACATCCTGCACAGACATGTTGCGAGTGGAGCGAATTGTGTCCCTAACCGGGAATCCAGAATATTGAAGTTTATGTAATCAGTTCGGCGAACCAAGATGGCTGCGACAGTGGGGCTTGTTGGTGCACTTCTGATGCATATATGTACCAACTACGAAGCCATTATGAACGGAACTCAGCCAGACGGTAAGTTCATGACGACAGAAGGTAAATCTAGTGTAACTGAAAAAATTATTTGGAAAATGAAAGTAGGCTTACGAGATCACTTTTCTGCCCATGTGTCTATGTGTGTATACCATTCTAAAGGTTCGGCCACACAGACCGCTACGCTATGTTCGCTACGTACGCTGTGTACACTCTGCGACTCAGCTAACATAGGGAACACAGCATACGTAGCGTACAGAAGTCTGTGTGGCCAGTCACATTGGCAATAAAGGGAGATATTTTTCCGTTTGTATAGCGAACATAGCGTACGTATCGCTCTGTGTGGCCGAACCTTTATACTCTCGTTTGCCTGAACCACTCTTCATAATTACACCTGTTGCCATCTCAACAGCGTATTTAAATAATCTTTCTGATCAGTAGTACCAACATTACAAGTTTTCACATTGTTAAGGTTATACCATTAATACTTCTTGAAGACCGTAGACGATCGTCATGAAATATCGTGTGTATATTATGCCACATGAAGCCATCTCAAGGGTGTATGTCATAAAGACCTACCACCAGTTACACGAACATTGCAGACTCTCAAAATTTTGAAGTAATAACCATTTCTTTATTGCTAGTGGGGTGGGAATAAGTCCCTTGTACTGCCGACAATTAGGGCCTATTGTACGAGCCCCAGATGATAGGTGAGGGTGAGTGTGGAGCAATTGGTGGAATGAAGATTGGCCGGGGAAACCCAAGTACTCGGAGAAACCCTACCCCATCGCCACTTTGTCTACCATAAATCCCACTTGACCAGACCCGGGCCTCCGCGATGGGAAGCCAGCGACTAACCGCTTGAGCTATGGCGCGGCCTAAGTAATAACCTTAATATTACTCGAATGTTCGAACTGTCGTATGCATATCATGCCATCTGAAAGGTGTAATTCATAAATCTCTCCCATCAATAATACCAACATTTAAGCGTCTCAAATTGTGTTGTTTTATTAACTTCATTATGCAAGCGTAGTAAAGTTAGATTTTTCCTATTTCTTGTATCAAATACATAAACGTAAAAGGAAAGGTTATATATGTCCTTCCCAGAAATTCATGTTTAAGCGCTCAATCAACTCCTGTGTCTTAATCTGAATGTCACTCTTCTTTAAGTTTTAGCTACATGTGTTGCGATATTGTAAAGAACATCAACCATATGTCTAGCGAAACACTCGCCCTGTATGTAAGGAAATATATCTAACGTTAACATGTTTTTTTACAAATATTACAACATTTAACCCTGTCTAGAAACCCGAGATTAACGGCCGTGGGAATCCGTTGCGCTGTCCACGCGACACCCTCTATCCGCAAAAGTTGGCACTAACTTCGCCAACAAGCGGCGGTCGCTCGGTCGGTATAGTTCCCTTGCGGACTAAAAGCCACGGAGTTATTACAACATTGAAATACGTAGTACATAGTTTTGTGTGCCGTGAGTGTTTCCTGGTAGCCGTGTGAGACATGCATATATCGCAACTTATCCAAGATTTAATATCTGTAGGTTTTGTCTAAGATAAAAACTCATGACCGCTTCATCTCTCTCTGCAGGAGAACACATCATCTGTGACTTGGCGTCGCCAAAGATGCTCTATAAGAAGTCTCTGACCATAGCTGCATTGGATGTAAGTATAGTCTGGTGCAATCAAGATTGTAACAAACCCATCAATGAGCCAATGTTACTCTACCGCGGGGGCATGCCCCATTGATGGAATTGGTTGGGTGGCAGGAGCAATCCCGAAACCAATATTTCAGCCAAACGAAATTCAGTTGCTGATTATAAAAGAAAGGTTCTACAACTGAGTAGATTTTACCAGAAAACGGAGATATAATCCAGTCTCCGAAACGCTGTGTTTTGAAAAATAAACAGGACGGTTTTTAGATAAAGACAAGGCGATGGATAATAATCCAAAAACATAATATCTCTATTATTCCACACTGATTCATACCAGACTGAAAATACACAATCACAAGCTTCTTATTAATCTTGTACTATAATAATATTTCTGTTAACATAAGTAGTTATGTTTTATCTAATTATGGAAATACATCAAATAAATTGTTGCAATAATATTTTTTAATAATTGATGCACAAGTAAATGTACGTGATTATAAAAGGACTCTGCTAGGAAAAAGATAACTTTTATTTTTGCTGTGATGGAAGTACATTGTTTGAAAATATAAACCGGAAGGGGTGAAGTCGCAAGGAGTAAAGATTTGGGAATCGCTTTTCTAGTCGATCACAATGCTGACCTGGTGGACTATTATGACATCGTTTTATGAAGCGGATATAGAGAACGTATAATGCAGAGACCGCATTTACATCATCACGTTTTATCATAAGAATAACTTACGAGATTTCTATTAAATTTTGTGTCAGAATCTACTTCGTAGAATGTCATTTTACTTCGTGTCACGTAAGTGAATACCCTACGTGGATTCTCATCAGATTCCTCAAAATCTACTAGTCGTAAAAAAGTGTGCAGGACGTAGATCGTATAAAAAGTGTGCAGGACAGATTGTATAAAAAGTGTGCAGGATATACATCCACCAAATTAATCTCTGTAGATCCTAATGGAATAATTTTGTATATGGCTAACGACATAAAAGGACTAATATGTTGTACTTCTAAATAGCAAAATACACAATATTCTTTGTGATCTATATGTATGTTGTGTAGCTATGTGATTAATAGATCTTTATTAGCAATAAACACAGAGATCATTGATAAATATTCAAGCTAAAAAGTCGTTCGGAAAACGTACTTGAGTCCTATGTTATCTGTGCAGCCGTGGTATAGATGTTGTTTCTCGAGCCATATGAAATATTTTAAATTTGGTATAAGGAAAGAATTGAAGTTTATTTTCGAAGGAATAAGACTACCTGAAACATTAGACGCAAATACCGTGCTTATAATTTTGTCTCTTTTTGTTTATCGACGTTGCGGACATTGTATAGATTACAGAATGACAGACATAATTATGAAGAAAGCGATCGTTGTCTGTTTAAGTCGGTATTACCTTAACATTCAGAGTTAGGATACGCAAAGGCCACGCCATAGCTCAAGCGGTTAGTCGCTGGCTTCCCACCCCGGCGGCCCGGGTTCTATCCCGGGTCTGGTCAAGTGGGATTTGTGGTGGACAAAGTGGCGCGGAGTCAGGTTTTCTCCGAGTACTTCGGTTTCCTCTGCAAATCTTCATTCCATCAATTGCTCCACAATCACCCTCACCTATTATCTGGGGGTTGGTACAATAGGCCAGAAGTGGCCTAAGTACAAGGGACTTAGTCACACCCCACTAGCAATAAAAAACAATTAGGATACCTGAGTTCACATCAGAACTGGGTGCTTGAAATATGAAGCAGAATTATTAACCAACTTGCCGACAGGAGGAAAGTAATAAAACACATGGGGAAATAGGTTACAGACATGAGAACAGGATTGACTTGGGGCAGGATACATTCCAATGGCGGTTTCTACGTGACGCGCGTATGCGTGCGTGCGTGCCTGGGTTTAAAAGATCTGCAGCGCGTATAATTAGCGATCGAGTTCCGTGTGTGACAACTGATTAAGCTGATCCTTGGAGCCGTCTTCATTGAATAGTGCTTAACTAATTAAGCATACGGCCAATTTTACCATTTACTTTTACTTTGTGAACACAACAGACATATTGATAGATACACTTTTAGAAGGCCATGGTTTCGTGATTTGATTGTTGCGTAACATCTTGATACCTTCGCTTTCATTTTATGTTGCATTCTTCTGCGGCAGAAATAAATATTAATTAATGTTGTACTGCAGCATCCCATAGCACGCCACTTCTTATTCACCGTCTCACATGCAAACTTGTGTCAAAGCTTTAAATTAAGTTTGTTTTTAATTTTAAAATTATTTTTCACGTCACTGGTGCACTAAAAGCTTCGACCGATATAGACATCATTAGATGCTTCGAAATATTATTATTATTATTATTATTATTATTATTATTATATTTAAACTGCAAATGTGTTTTTGCCCGGTGGCAGTGGTACTACAATAAGACATAATACATAAATACACACATCACACAAAATAACACACCACACTCAAACAAAACATATCACACAAAACTACACAAATAACAAAGGACACACTAGCACACAGTAAATACATTCAAAGTACACTTACAACCATAACAAATATAATTGCTGTTGAAAACTGCTGCACTTCCGCCAATGAACACAGTTCCAAAGTATATCCTCGTGTATGCGCCCACGTGTTGTTGTACATCTATAATAAACATTTTCGAATTAATTTCAACAATGCAAATTGTTGAGAATAATTAAAAAATATTTATGGAAGATACCAAACGCCACATTTTATCAAAATTAGGTGAGGAGTTTCGGAAATAAACCATGTAAAGAAAGGACGGAAATATTTCTTCTTCTGTGAGCTCAGTTTACAAGTATTCACATAGTACGAAGGGGGCACACAAAACATACAGGGATTTACACAAGGTAGTGTATTACTTAAGATTGAAAATCACTTCCAGCATAACCAGGTTTAATATTTCTTATCCACCTACTGGAGCAACAGTAACTTAAGTCGTTTGAATCCGTGACCAACAACAAAAAACAAATGTTGATTCCCTCCGTTGGTTCTCAGTATATAAGTTCTGGCTCCAAAATTCTCCTGAACTTAAGAGTGACTTCCTTTATTCCTCTCTGAACACACAGGAGTTCCCGTTGAGTTACGTGGAGGACGGAGTCCCTAAAGGTATCGTCTTTGACTTCGTTAACATTCTGAAAGATAAATATGGATTCAACTATACAGTCAAGATGCCTGAAGAAAACATCATAGGAGACGCGGATATTGGAATAATCAGCATGGTTCACAAAAAGGTACACAGAACAGTATCAGAGGTTAATCCTTGCTTGGAATAGATATGATTATCTAGGATACATGTGCTACTAATTCAGTATATTCGTATTATTATTATTATTATTATTATTATTATTATTATTATTATGATGTATTACAGATGCAGACAGCATCTTTAGATATTTGGATGTTTTCAGAAAAAAACAAACTTCTCTACAGAGTGCTATATTTTAGCGTCCTGTGGCACTGGTTCATGTCCATGATGTGTATTTATGCTAACCGTCTTACAGTGCACACTTTTTATTTAATTTCACCTTTCTCTTCACTTTTATACTACATGTTTCAGCGCTCTATAGAGAATGCAGTCGTCACTATTCTTATCCTAGCAACGAATTTATAACAATCTCAGTGTAACTACAGCACACATGAAGTCTTCAAATCACACGCTAAATCTTCTCTTCGCAGCCTGACTTTCAACTATCAACTAAACTGAACTGAACTTTTGACAACAACTCGTTATATAACCTCGTAGCTGCTCCAAGAAAGAGAACCATTCCCTAACAATTCCTCTATTGTTATACAGGTGTGTTTACCTAGCTTTTGCTTAGAAACGGCAGTTATTAGATTGTTGCTTGCGTATTCGTTGCCGCGGGAAGGTATATACCGAGCCGTTTCCTAACAAAGGATGTCTGCTCTGGCTCGGCTATTCCGGTATTGAGACAACATATTACAATATTAATCACTGGGTTACATCATTATTCATGTTCCTTAACATTAGGGGATTTCCAAGGTAGACTGCACGTGATCGAAGTAGGAGTAAGACATTAGATCAAATATTTCATGCTTGCATGTACAGTCAACTCATTATACACATATTGGTGACTGCACCAGATGTCATGTAGACTTCACGCAATATTTCCTCTGCAACTTAACGCTACCATTGCCAAGAATCGAAGACATGGACCTTTACAAAAATGTTTATATCTGACATCTCGGTTTTCTAGACCGGTAACGAATATCTGTGTGCATAGATAATATATGTATATATATATATATTATTTGCACATAAAATAAGAGCAACTCAGACATCACAAAATACTATAGGATGTCAAGGTTATATTTATAGATCAAATTTCAGAAGCAGTTATATTTTCTAGCGGTTTCCAAATCACTCTGTGAGTTCCAGGTCACTATTTACGCCTACAATTTGTACCCCTTGAAGAAACTTGTTGCACAGTAAATGAATGGCAAGGAAACATGTCACCAGCTTCCCTAGAGAAGAGGCAGTTTTTTTTTTCCTTTTAAATGTTGATGTTCCATTCTATGCATACGTTGGCTTTGGTCTGAAGTAGGCCTTGTCTGCTGGCTGCGTGTTATCACGCCCTTGTCGTGTCAACGCAGTGTGACAGGCGACGCAGAGATATTCCTACATTCCCACCGAAGCAAAAATCAATGCTGACTTTGAAAGATTGTATCATTTTTGTCCTTCCGAGAGTGAAAAATCGAAATAAACATCTGGACTTCCGAAGTTATTTCTCACGGAAACAACTGGACTGTTGACAATTATTCACCGTTGAATGAGAAATGGAAATGTAAGGAAAGTATTTCATATTTCTTTAGATGAAATGTGGCAAAATGAACGGTTAATATTGTAGAGGGGCAATCCTTCATTCGACAGCAAATTTCACGAACCTGTTGACATTAAAATAAGCACAAATTATTTCTTTCTAGACGCCTTACTTGCAAGAATGTTGTGAATTAACTTACGCCTAGAAACAACCCAGAAGACTTAACTCAGTTTGACCCAAACAGATTTTCTAGCCGCATTCTTTGTGCTTTTGCTCCATTTAGTGGGAATGATACATATTCATTCATTCATCCATTCATTCCAGATGCATATAAGATCATATTTACTGATTCAAATACTACATCAACTCCATGAGACAGCCTCTTTTTTAGAAGCTGTTGGTCTCTGAGCTGAAAATCTATGGAACCCGAAAGTGTAAACATGAATCTAGCATTTTTCCATAACTTGATCCAGAGAAATCCAATGCATATCCATAAAGAATCCTTCTTTAGAAGCTAATAGAAGCCGCAGTTACTGAAAAAATTGTGTGCCTCTTATGGAACCCAGAGGTTAAACTCATAAGAACACAATATGGATCCATATTAAAATTAGATCTAATTCAAGAACTAGGACTATTATCATTGTACGCCTGATGATGACCCAGTATAAGGGTAGAAACATGTAACGTCAACAGCAAAATGAAACAAAGTTGATACAGTAGTGTCTATTTTGTTTTTCAGGAGTATTGTTGTGTAGAATGCCCCCACTGTTCACATTATCTATTCAACTGATAAGTTCTAAGTGCGTATAAACACACACGTATACCTGACCATGCAGGAAGTGGACATGGCTGCAGCCTTCTTGCCTGTGTTCCATGAGATGGATAACCTGGTCAACTGGTCGACAAGTCTGGACGAGTCTAATTGGGTCGTCATGATGAAGCGGCCTTCAGAGTCAGCCACAGGTTCCGGCCTCCTGGCCCCATTCGACTCGACTGTGTGGATTCTGATCCTCATCTCCCTCATAGCCATCGGCCCCACCATATACATCATCATCATCATCAGGGCGAAGCTATGTAAGGGGGACGAAGTGCTCACAGCCGTCGTGCCGCTGGACAACTGCATCTGGTTCGTGTATGGGGCCTTGATGAAGCAGGGATCCACGCTAGCGCCGATGGCTGGTGAGTTTACAGTAAGCTAGAGAACGGCGGAGGCATAGCTCAAGCGGTTAGTCGCTGGCTTCCCACCGCGGCGGCCTGGGTTCGATCGTGGGGTCTGATCAAGTGGGATTTGTGGTGGACAAAGTGACGCTGGGGCAGGTTTTCTCCGAGTTCCTCGGTTTCCCCTGTCATTCTTCATTCTACCAATTGCTCCACAATCACCCTCACCTATCATCTGGGGCTGGTACAATAGGCCAGAAGTGGCCGCAGTACAAGGGACTTTGTCTCACCCCACTAGAATTAGAAAGAAACATAGAAAACCCTTAAGAGTAAAATTCACATCTTACCCCTTAACGACTGAAGGTAGAAAGAGACTGTCGTGAGAACAATTTCTCTTTCCGGTTTTGAAGGTTCCCAGGCAGTGCCCGTTCATCCTTCTGGTAGAGGTAACGTTTTAGGATCGATTTTGTCATGAACAAAGAACAGAAGTAGTATAGGTAACGCATGGAGGGCTGCGTTACGAAGAAATGTTGGTGTTAACATTGCGAGGGCTGCACGTGAAGAATTTAGTGCAACGTGGAATTTGGGTAACAACTCGGCATTTGCTCTAAGGCCGAGTAAAAACCTCAGACGATAAAAAAAGTAAAAATAAAACAGTAATTCTGTGTTACACACAATCGTCAGAGCCCTTTAGAATGTACGAATATTTTAATTGAGAAAGCCACAACATCAACGTTTCTACGAAGTTTGATTATGCCTTACGGAGACGCTATGTGTCATAAGAGCAGTGAGTGAACAGTCTCGGAGAATATCTTCAGTGGTGTGAATTTGAGGAAGGCTGGAGTTCATGTTCTGAGCAAATATAATGATTATACAGTAGTAACGTTCTTATTATAACACTTATTTAAAGCGAGTATTTTAATTAGCTCTGTGTGTTTAAGACAAAAGACACCCGTCCGAGTACAAGTACGATCTATCTAGAACTTCGCTGAGGGTGCGCGATTATTGGATAATAAAGCACATATTTACGTATTTGTTTAGAAAACTGTAGACTCCATTTCCAACATATAGTAAAAGGTAAAGAATAGGTAAAGTTGTCCCATGAAGGGGTATGGGGGAGTGGATGCATAGATCAACATTTTCTTGACCTCGACACTAGTTGGAGGTAGGTGGTTACCTTCACGCCCCGGCCGCTTTACCTCCGGTACCAACTGGATATGAGATTGGGTGGGCCCCAGAGCCAGTCTCAACGACGTGGAGAATAGAAAATCCTTAACCCTACCGTGACTCGAACTCCAATGTAGTGGGGTACAAAATCGCTATGCCGAAGATCTTTCCATCGGAAGACTGGTTACTAAAGGTATGACGTAGCCTCAGAGATGTATCGAATAGAACGCACCATGAATAAGCGGTAGAGATTGATGTAAGTCTCGTTAGAAAATCAAAATATTTTTTCCTTCATCAAAGATGCACGATAAACAGTAGATGGAATATGAAATAGTAGGCTCTCTGTTGTCTGCCGTCTGAAAGAAGAAGCTCTATTTACTCGGTCACGCTGACACGCGAAGGAAGATAGAAGACGTTCACAGTGAAAATAAATATGTAGTAGTGGTTTTCAGAATATACTGCAGGAGCGAAATGCATAGATAAAAACCATTAATAGGATATGAAATTAAGCTGCTAATCACCATCTAATTAAATTGTGGCATGTAGACCAGTTACTAGACAATGGCCTGTAAACAGCAGTAGAGGAACGGTGTTTTCTGTGTGGTCCGTACCGAGCTGTTATAAGTAGCAGAGTTAGTGAGGAGTTAAGTCAGTCGAGAAGTGCTATAGCGGAGGCCGGGGACAGTTCGGGAATTCAGAGGAAGTCGCTACCAGGTGACTGGTGAAGACACAGCGGGCTGACAAGACTTAAATGAGTGCTGTAGTGAATTGAAGAATGTGTGAATTAGCGATAGCGCTGTAGTACGTGTAATTAATAGTTATAGGCATCCAGTATATCCGACTGCCATTCCACACCCCTTCTATAGACATTGTATGGATTCATTCATTCATCAATGGCTCGACAGCCATTTATTGGGCTCTGGCCGCCCTTTCAGTTCCGTAGTCCTATACACGATCGGTAGGACTTCTTGGGCGGGGGATCAGCCCGTTGTAAGGCCACTACCTACACACATGACAGCACAAGCATAGAATAAACACATACAGGCATCCGAACCTCGAGTGGCATTCGATCCAAAACATATTTTTTTTTTATTATTCTTAGTGGGGTGAGACTGAGTCCACTTGGTACTGCGGCCACTACTGGCCTACTGCACCAGCCCCAGACGATAGGTGATGGTGATTGTGGAGCAATTGGTGGAATTAAGATTGGCAGGGGAACCGAAGCACTCGGAGGAAACCTGCCTCCTGTTAAGAATCAACTGACGTTTCGGGGACACTTGCTATATGCTTCAAGTTGGTTCCTTGATTGATTCGACTCAGAAAATGGAGGAGATTTTTCTTCTGAAATGTCGGTTGATTTTCAACGGACTACGCGGCATTACATCCCAGCAAACTATTATCTTTGTAATTGCCGCTATGAGAACATCAAATGCAACGACTCATCTGTGTGCCACTTGACGTACTGGAGGATATGTTTGCGTCCTCACCACGATGAAACAGATTTCCATGGCAAGAATCACAGCTAGCAGTCAGACGATAAGACATGGTTCCTAGCAAATTCGCAGCAGAGATGTTCGGAAATTACTCGGTTCAGATCTTGCCCTGGACACCGACTGAAGCGTCGGAAAAGTTTTTCGTGCGCGCTGTCACGCGAATCATGAAGCAGCATATCAAAGTAAGTCATGTAAGATTTGAGGTTTTCACGGTGGTGACTATGAAGAATGCCGTCTATTGGGATGTGGCGCCGTGTAGATTTTGTGTAAACCTACGTTTCGGAGGAACGTGTCGCCTTCATCTTTCAGGGTAGCAGCCACGTTCTTATGCTGGTTCCTCTCTCGCGAATTTTTCTACCCTGGCGATGGAGATGATACGCTCCTCCGAAACTTCGGTTCACACAAGATCTACACGGCGCCATATCCCAGAAGGCGGTATTCTTCAAAATAGGTCATGACCGCGTCCTTTCATATCCTAATTCATTATTCATTATTATCTTACCACTGGACTTTATATAGTCTGGGCTAGTGAGAGTATAGCTAAATAAACGTAAGATAAATAAAGTAAGATAAACGTTAATTGTGTTCATGATATGCAGCCGACAACGATTTATAGAGTCTGGTTCATGCAGCAAACTGTGTGTGCTGACCATCAAATGCTGAGACATGCTTGAGTGATTTCACGTCATGTCGACAATCATTAGTTTCGTATGAAAACAAACATGCCGCCTCAGTATACTCGGTATACTCAGTATACTTCTAGCCACACACATACATAGTGCGGTTGATGATCAGTACCATTTCACGAACTGATGAAAATTTCCTTTTTATAAGTAGCTGAACTTCGAATCAGGGGTGAAGTCCCTTACCTGAATACGAAGGATGTGTTAATGTGCTACCTGATCAGGGCTGTGAAACCTCAGGTATCCGTTATATATGCGTAAAGAGCAAACAAATAAACTCCGTGATTTTAGTCAGCGAGCGAACTACACCGACCGAGCGACCTCCGCTTGTCGGCGAAGTTAGTGCCAACTTTTGCGGATAGAGGGTGTCGCGTGGTCAACGCGACGAATCCCCACGGCCGTTAATCTCGGTTTTCTAGACCGGAACCGCTATTTCCTTGACATAACTCCTCAATTATCATCATGAGGCTGAGTGGACCCCGTTCAAGACCCACTATTTCTCCGAAAATCTGGTAGCGCTAGGAAACTTATGGAAACTTGGTACGTATATCATGCCATCTGAGGTCTTCTCAACTGCCTTTCTCATAAATCAGTCCCATCAATAATACCAACACTGAAGCCTCTCAAATTGTTGAGGTAATAACTTTAATTTTATTTGAATGCCTGAACCGATTGTCATGAAACTTGGTATAAATATGATGCTACCCGAGATCATCTCAACGGTGTACTTCATACATCAGTCCCATCAGTAATACCAACACTGCAGTCTACCAAACCGTATTGTTATATTGCCTTCATTACGCCTTCATGCCAAACTATTCTTCCTTCTTGTCGAATCAGATACTGAGATGAAAGTGAGAGGAAAGTAGGTGGTCAGTTCTTCCCAGTTTCCCTCGCACATCTGTAAACTCAGGTTGAAAAGAGGTTTGTTTTTTTATCAAGAATAATAGAGCTCTGAAATTCGTGAGTATGTGGAAAACCAGTGTTGATTTGTAAGATTTGAGGCTTTCACGGCGGTGACTATGAGGAAATCAGTCTTCTGGGATTTGGCACCGTGTATATGTGGTGTTAACCGACGTGTCGGAGGAACGTATCGCCTCCAGACCGTGTCTGCTTTTACCGGTTCCCACGGTCTCTTCGCTTGCAGATTTCTTATATTTTTTCTTCTACCCTGAAGATGGAGGCGATACGTTCCTCCGAAACGTCGGTTAACACCACATATACACAGTGCCAAATCCCAGAAGACTGCTTTCTTCAGTGTTGATTTGTCTTCTGTTTCTGAAGAATAATGTTTTATGCTGAACTTACGAACTTGGAATATGTACATTCCTTTGCTTTCATTATCTCAGTAAATGCAAGATATATGAGAAACTGTATTAGATCCGGAACGCGTTAGGTTTTACCCATGTTTGTTTTAAACCGGTAAATGTTTACAGACTTCCACTCGACATGCTCACACAGACACATGTATATATGTATGTATGTCTTCGTATAAATTGTTATGCTTGTCGCTCACCCAATAAAATTGCTGTGTCCTATTTAACTTTCCAGCATAAAGAGAAACCGAGAAACTACAGAATTCACCATAACATCCTGTCACATACATATACACATATCTTGAGGTGTCATTTCTTTAAGCCCCCTATTTTCGATGCAGCGACAGACATCAAGGGTAATC